AGTCTTCAGGTAACCTCAGAAAGGCGAGAGCACGGGAGGAACAGACTTTGTTCATGCCCTCTGGAGCGTGGCGAGACTACGGGGATGAAGTTATTTGAGGCCTATTCAAGGAGGACGAGAGCTTACGAGACGAACCTTGACCAGTTCTGAAAAGGGCGAGAGTATAGGATGCACTGAATTCATGTCCCACCAGGAGGGGGAGGGAGACAAGTGGGATGACACTCTACCATATGTCCCCAAAGAGCGAGAGCTCAGGGGCAAGATATTCAACATGTCTTCAGAAAGGCGAGGGCCGAGGGGAAGAGATCTCATAAAGCCTCAAAAGGGCGAGAGCACGGGGGACAGTTGGTTTTCCTTCTCAACATGATATTCTTACCGGAAGAGGCGGGAGGAAGTTGTTAGCTCTCGCTGTTTTCAGGGGTTGGTGTATGTTCGTCAGCAGGCAGATTTCAATGAGAAGACAGTTGATGAGAGCAGCTCGGCTCAAGTTATGAAGCATGAATGTGGAAAGACGAGAGGGCTGTTCAAATACTGCCAAATGACCTTGTGTAATCTAAGGCTTCTAGATGTTCTAACGGATACGCCTTGTGATGATTGATTTCATGTGAAGTCGTCGGTTTAAATGCTAAAGAACGATGAGATGTGCGACGAGACAACAATGCCACTTCAGACAGAAAGAAACTCACAGGACTACTGGTACCAATGATAAGATTCTGTTTGGCTTTGGTAGGCAATGAGAGTGAATCAAGAGTAATAAGGAAAGTATTCCTTATCACAAGCAATAAGATGGGGGATACTGCTATTATAGCGAGTGTTCTCACACCTCCTAGAATCCAGTCAAGGCAGATGGCCTCGGTAGAGGGGGCATCTTGCAAAGCACCATGATGGGTACATGACCTGGCGATCTTTCACGCGTAAATGAAGCAGAAGCAGCCTGTTTAGCTGTGGTTGATAATTGTGACATTGGTATGATTGCTTAATGTCCGATGAAAGCCCTTACGTGTCTGGTGATCAAGGAGAAAGTGAAGAACAAAAGAGGAGAAAAAGGTAAGAACAAGTAGACTTTTGCAAGAGCCAGGCTGCTCATGCCCATGGGCTTGAGCAAAGAAGGTAGCTGCCATAGGACCGCTAGATGATAAAGAAGAGAAAAGAGCCCAAGATCTTGAGCAGCATGTGGCAAGAAGCCAAAAAGCTGGGAATTTGGGACCCTTCTAATCGCACTCAGGAGCACTACTCGTTCGAGCACAAACTGGTCTGGCAGGACCAGAGGTCGTTGTGGAGGACCAGGCTAATATGTAGGATGGAATAGATAGGCTGAAAGAAGATATAGTCCCAGAGAACTCGATGGGGCCCACCACTAAGCCGCCGTGGTGAACAGTGACCGCGTACGCTCTCGCTCACGGAGTTATGAATATAGTTGCCAGTTATATAGCCTCACAGCCAGCCCAATGGCCAGTTTTAATAACTTTAAGGATTAACGTGTCCGGAGGGCAAGTGAGACGACAACGATGAGGCCACCTGCGACTAGCCATCGCGCCAGTTCATTAAAGATCAAGCAGCATTTGCTAAGAACAATTTTAGTACCTAATGTGGTGCATAAACTACAGCTTCCTTTGTTCCTTACCCAGACGCCGTTTTGGCAACCTGTTATTCGCTCCGCATGTAATGGAGGACTTGGAAGGGAACAACCTAAGGTACAAATATCAGCCAGAAAAAAGTGGCGATCGAAATGTGTAATCAAAGCTTTTTCTGCAGATAATCAGTGCGATGTCAACCTGCTCTCCAGTGATGTTGGGGTAGGTAGGCCTTGGTGTCTGATGTGACAAAGACTTGGCAGGACGCGAACGGCGGCCTCAGGCGACTCAACGGTGCAAGTCTCGCGGTCGTCTGGGCTCGATCTAATGAGCGAGGTTTGGAGGACGATAGCATCAGCCTAGCAATCTTGTGAGCGAAGGTAGAGTGACGTGATATGTTAGATCTTACTTTAGGGGGGTCCTAGACGAGTAGTTTCGGGGCCATGGATTAGCTTTCAGATCGCTCGTGTGCGAGAGAACAAACTGCTGTAGACGGCATCTACAACAGGTGACGCGTCGATCATCCTGCCTCCAAAGTAACGACCGTTGAGGCCTCTGATGGCGTTCTCGCCACCTTGGACCTTGTCGAACTTGAGGTAAATGTCGCCCTTGGAGTTCGGATCGACGGAGATGTGTACGACGCGGCCGTATTTGGTTTCTGCTTCCTGTCGAACGTCATCCTCCAGTTCCTTGACCCATTCTTCTCCCTCTTCCCTAAAAGATTGTTAGCATTGTATAAAAAGAGGGTGGGAGAAAATGGGCAACGTACTCTTCAGGGTCAAACATGTTGTGCAGGACGACGCATCGGCTGGCCATGTTCACGTTGACCAGCAGAGGCTTGGTCTCGGTCTTGGGCTTCAACACCTGTCGCTCATCTACTCCGTTGGAAGCATCATCAGTCCTGGCAAGTTTTCTCATCAGGGCATCACGGCTGTAGTTGTTAAAGTTGACACCGGCGACATCTGTGTCATCAAGGGCGCTGGCACCGCCAGACTTTTCGCTGTCTCGTCCACCCGCGCGATCGAATGCCGATGTCTGGGGGCCTCGGCCACCCGCACCAGAGAATGCAGAGCCTTGGAACTGTGGGTTTTGGCCAGGAAATCTCTGCAAGATGTTGGCAGTGCTCTCAGGGGTAAACTTATCGTTTCCGAGGCCGACGCGAATCGGGCGACCAGCGAGATCGAAGCCGTTCATCTTTTCAAGGGCCTCCCTGGCTTGGCTGGCTTCGCGGTATCTACAAACTATTAGTCAGTATTGCCCTTGAGATTCAGTAGAAGAGGACCAGAACGTACTGCACGAATCCATAGCCTCGGCTGCGTCCATTGTCGTCCTTCTGGAGTTGGACAAACTCAAGTTCGCCGAAAGGCTCAAAGACAGCCTGTAAATCCTGCTCGGTGACGTTGAAGTGAATGTTGCCCACGTAGAGGCGATGGAAGGGGATCGAGTTCGGGTGGGCGTTGGTGGTCTCGGAGTTGCGGACCTGTCGGTTCTTCTCGGCCTCTGTGAGCTGGACGATGATAGGGATACCTAACAATTTCTGTCCGGTAAGTTGAAGCGCTTGAGTGACTGAATCCTCGTTTTTGAATTCAACATAACCGACTCTGTACATGTGGTTAGCAACTCTTCAGCTAAAGTCAGGTTGGTTGAACTTCAACTTACCCCTTGGATCTTTGGCTAATGCGATCTTTGACAATCTGAGCCTCAATGACGGGGCCGACCTTCTCGAAGAATGCCTTTAGGTCGCGGGTGCGAAGACGGGCGGCGAGCTGCTGGACAAAGACAGTGCGGCGATCGCGTTCATCTTCAGTAAGTTGTGGTGTTGCCTCACGCTTGGAAGTTTCCTGACGATCGTCGTCCCTAGCCCGGCGATGGTCCCCAGAGTAGCGATCTGAGCGATCGCGGCGTTCGCGATAGTCATCGCGTGATGAGCGGTAAGAGCGGTGGGGTGACCGAGATCGCGAGCGGGCTCGTCCGCCTCTATAGTAATCACCATCTCCTCTGTGACGACGTGAGCGACGGCGATCATCATCGCGGCTTTTGCTTCTCCGCCTACTCTTGTGGCTACCAGCGTCGCTCCGAGGGGTTGATGTCTTGATGTCGTCTGGGGTTCCACGTCGGCTGCGTGTCGTGCTACGGTCGCGGCGGTCGCGGTCGCGGCGCTCATGGTCTCGACGACGACTATCATAGTCCCTGTCACGGCTTCCATCGCGGCCGCGATCGCGCTCCTTACGTTCGGAACGGTCGCCATTGGTGCGTTCTTCGACGTCGTGTGTCTTCGTCTCGGTAGAGCTTTTTGCGGTGGCGTCAAGCAACGCCTCGACGTCTAGGCCCGACATCTTGCGCTGATTTCAGTGCGAAAGAGACGAGGAAGGGAGAGTCGACGCTGTTCTTTCGCTTCTGCTGTCTATGATTTTTCGAGATGGCAGGTTTTATCGCGGTGTGGGTGTAGAGGGGAAGAGCGAGGTGATTCGTGGGATGGAGAGGTTGGCGCAGTCACACGAAAGCGTCCGACAGAAATCTTGGGCCAGGCGAGACAGTGAATCGGGCTAGGGACAGCCCAAGCACTGAACAGGACCTGCTAGGTAGCCAAGCGAATCTGGAAGGTGGCCACTGGCGGTAGCAATCAGAAAGAGCGTGGCTTACGTAATAACAGTGCTGACTCAGACGGGCAAGTTCCGCGTATCACGGTAGCATCGTACCTTCCCACGCTACCTAACCTTGAGGTACCTATGCTCTACGACAAAGAAATACCGATGAACCATACGTCCATCTGAGCCATGAGGAATAGACCTTCCTCATCCCGAGGAAATCATGCTAACACGTGACCACTGGTCGCATACCTTTTCCCAAACTCGAAGCTAAGGATGGAGCATTGCAAAATGTCAAACTGACTTCAACCTGGAGGCCCGACCAGACCCCCTCTACGATTGCCCGTGAACACGTTTGCTGCAACGGTTCGCCGTTCAGATGCGCCCATGGCGTCCGGAAAGCTACTCCATTTGTTTCTCCATCAAGCTATGATCCTCGCCATGAGCAATCATCAAACCCATCACCTTTTACAGTCATGATTGGGCGGGAAACGAACGTGCTGTCTAGTCATTTTATGGCATAATCTCGGTGTGTGGTATCATTCAAAATACTCTGTACTAAACCAGCCTGTCATGAGAACATGACGGCTCTTCCCGGCCGCATCATAGCTGGCCGGGGCGCTGTAATACGCAAGGCTCATTCAAGCCATCTCCTCAGAACGCCCATGAAATGACCCCCATTACAGCGTTAAAGTAAAGCCCTGAAAGCGTATATACATTGTGGGACACGTAAGGGTGAAATTGAGCAAACTTGCTCTGTTCGGTATTAGGAATAGGCCCCAGAAGTCGTCATCATGACATTGTGTATGTTGCGGTCGTGTGCGGTGGTCGGGTGGAATTAGTTGGCCTTCACAATGGGAGGAAGTTCGGTGCCAAAAATGCTGTCCCAGAACCGGCTGGTGACTCCGAAGCCGAGCTCGTAGTCGAGGAAGTGGTGCTGAAGGTGGTATTTCTTGAGCTCCTTGTACCACAGAGGGAGGTTCTGGTGATGCAGGAAGTAGTGCGTCAAGTCGTAGCAAATGTAGCCGAAAATGCCTCCGCAGTAGACGGCCGTGGCAGCGTGCCAGCTGTAAGAGAATACCCAGTGCGCGAGCTTGTAGAACGGCGTGGCGAGAACAACGAACAAGGTGGGAGGCATGACCAGGCGATACTTGTCCATGGGCAGGTAGTGGTGGATGCCATGGAGGAGGAAGTGCGCAGTGATGCCAACACGGTTGTCAGGAAGCCACCTAATCCAACGTATTAGTCCAATGGCCTCTCACGTTAGATCAAGTTGCAAGAAAACTTACTTGTCGAGATGGAACAAGAATCGGTGCAGGACGTATTCGATCAAGCTCCAGAGGAAAAATCCAAAGCCCCAGTAGCAGACCTCCTGGAAGGTGCTGTCCATGCCTTCTCTAGCCAGATAGGTGCCGTAGGCGACGGGCGGAAGCCATGCAAGCGGGACAACCCACCAAGGTGTCTTTGACAGAGGCTCCAAGAAGTTGCCAAACAGAGGCGCAGATTCGCCGCCCTTGTAGTGGCGAGGACGGTGGACTTGATCAAGGTAGAATTCCTTGCTAAAGCCGCCGAACCAAATCTGAGGGAACAACGGGCGGCTCAAGTCGAGGAACTTATGCTTCTTATAGTCGCTTGTGTAATCCGTCTCCTTGCTCAGATCCTCCTCGCTGGCCATACCGGTTCGGGGGTGGACCCAACGTTCACCGTCCCAAAGCTCGCCGTGCTCGTTCATCTGGACGCCCTCGGCTTCGTCAGTCTTCTCGACGGTGCCGTTCGCCTTGCCGTTTCCATTCGCATGTCCATTCGATTTGCCATTTACTGCGCCATTGACCTTGCGAAGGCCGTCGACGGCCTTCTGGTTAATGACAAAGCCAACCAGGGAGTCATCCAAAACCTCATATGCGGCCTCGGAGTGAGGGTGAGAGGTTGGGTCCTTTAGAATGGCGTCGATGTCCTTGCCAGCGTAGTCGTAGACGAGATCGGCTCCACCGGGATGGTCTTGGGCGAAGTCGGTCACATCGTATACGTTGGAACCGATGGTAACATAGCAAGACTTCTTGGAGTTGTGAGCCTCGACCTCGGCGCGAGTGAAGGTAGGGAGAGTTCGCGCCGGCATATTGGTGGTTGCTTGACGATTGATTCGCGGCGATACGTAAACGGCAGAGAAGGGACTTTCGGAAGTACTACTGTTGTTGCTGAGGGTTCCTAGTGCCCGGGTCCAGGGTGGACGAAATAGGAGTCGAAAGACAACGAAGGGAGTGGACGAGTTGAAAAAATCGCAGCAGAAGTCGCAGTCGCAGGCCCTAGCGAAGGAGAGGGAAAGGTGAAGGTTGGAGGAAGAAGTGGCACGGAGGGAAGAAGTATTAAGATGGAGTACGGTGTATGGTTGGGCGACTAAAGCAGGCGGTCTAAGGTGAGGTGGGAAACCGAAAAGGAGCCAAAAGCCGGGAGGGCCGGGAGGGCGAAGTTGAAGGCCGGGGCGATGTGACTTGAGGCTCGGTGGGCACAGGGTGGTGAGAGAACGGAGACGGGTCGAAGAATTAATTTAGGGGGGATGTTTGATTTGGGGATCGGGGGACGTGAGGTGAACGTGGAGGCATGCGTGGGTGGCAGGGCCAAGGAGAAGCTCTCTACGCGACTAGCAATCTCTCACCCTTCTCTAGGCCAGAAAAAAAATACGGCCTGGTGGCGTTACTTTGGCACAGAACGGGACCTGGCGGAAGCTTGGACAGCCGATTCGTGGTTCCACCTGTTGACCACTTTCGCCCGGCTCTTCAGGGTTTACACTGTGTGAGTGTCTTTCTCTGTCTGTTTAGGTGGGCAAATGGATACAAAAGTTACAGACCCCGAAATTGCACCTTTTTTACCTCAGCTCAGCAACAGTCGAACACCTCCAGAACGGGCAATGAGTGACGGGGTTGACAATGCCAGACTGTACATAGTGTATGGACACAGACAGTACCCAGGAAGCCAAAGGTGTGGGTGATGAGGGAGTCAGGACGCGGGACTGACGGGGAGGTGTGGGAACCGCTGTTGGGAACCCAAACATGGCCTGGGACGGTCTGGGACGGAAGACCAGGAACGGGGACTTAGGAACATGTACGAAAGGGCACATAATGCCCACCACGCGATACATTGTCGTTGCCACGACTGCAACAAGCAGAAACGCCACCCTATCTAGGTGTAATGCCTAGGCCAACAGGTAGGGGAACATCGAAACTTCAAACGGGGCGAAATGGGCATTGGGCAAGTTCGGCAAAATCCTAGAGGCAGAAGGGTGAGGGAAAAGTTGCATGGCAGTTTGAGGCGGGAAGTGGTGACTACATGGACATTCTCATGGTCACTTAATCCCGGTGGAATTAGTCCGCGACAATCACCGAGCCCAGCACCTCAGGGCCCAGGCAATAAGCAAATCCAGGACTAGTCATTAAGAAACAATGCAATCGGCTGCCGGCCCAGCCAGATCGACCCAGCTGCCAGGTCTGTGCAGAGGGCTCCTAGAGCCTCCGTACCAAGTTTTGATCTGACTAGGTAACAGGCATCTACGGTTACCTTAAATGGGCTGGCTGTCTTGTTATCCATGTCGAGTGGATGATGGTTTTTTCTTCGCATCCTGACCTAACACCCTGCCTATCTGTTGATGTAGGTATTCTTTGAATGAAGGAGCGATCAGTAATAAGTAATCAGATGAAAGGAACACCGAGCCGTGGGACCGCAGGAGGAGCGGTGTAATTACTGTTCCTTCAATCAAGAACAAGAGCCTACCTTAGCATAAGGTAATGACCTGAGGGAACAACAGGTGGCTTCTCGTGGCTTGCAATCGAGGGGTAGTCTTGGAACACTCGAGATAAGATTGGCAATGGACTCTTGGCCTCCCACAGTCTTAGCACCTCCAGTCATGGGCCGTGACCCCCGACCCGAGGACCAAGATCGCAGTGAGTGGCGCGCGATGGCAGCGGCGGCGGTCTGTGACAGTGAGCATTGTTGGGGTCGAGTCTGAGATTGAGTTAGTGGAAGCAAGTTGAAGCGTCTTCTCACACGGCGCATATTGATGCATGAGCCAGAGATGGGAGGTGCATGCAAGTACGTACCCGCGATAAGTCCTCTTGTTTGATTACACGTGCATTTCACCCGAATGCCTTGACGCCAGTACTCCGTAAGGTACCGTACCGTACTTTACCTTACCTCAGCCCACGGGGGTTTACCTAATCCATATGACCCAGCCACCTCACAGCAGCTATACGAAGTATCCGTAGGTAGGTAGTCTGAGACGCAGCTTTCAAGGTTACAATCTGTGGCTCATGGGCCGCTCATGGGTCTCTTCAAACAGTGCCTTTCGGACTGATTAGTCTTCTGGTCTCGTTAAGATAGGTAGTTGAGCTGAACGGAGAGACTGTGGCTTATATCACCTTGTATACCCAGACAGAAAGGTCATTTATCTGGATCCTGTTCATCTCACTGGCTTGTCTTGCCTTAGCTGGCCACCCATTATATCACAGTACCAAAGTTAAGGCGCGCCCAAGATTGAGAGAATAATAGATGGGAAAAGAAGATGCCTGATCATCTCGTCGTGCGGAACGAGTTGCTGGGGACAAGCCTGGAATCCGCCAGGGACGCATGGCATTGGTCCAGGTACCGTCTACCTGGTCGGAATGGAACCCCTCGACTTAAGCCAATGGCGGGGCTCTCCTGTGCGGGTCTGCCCTAAGGTACCTTACCAGCCGGATCCCACCCTGTTGCGCGTACCTATGGGAGATACCTACTCCGTAAGAATACCTTAGGTAAGGTAGGTCTGGGCGTATCTGATGGAGGGGCAAATGGGTGCCAAAATAGGATGTCTGTCAACGAAAGATTGTTGTAGGAACCTTCCTGTCTGTTCGAAGTGTAGTCTCTGAGAAGTCCAGACAAGATGATAGGTAACCATAGGAACAATAGAAAGAACAAGAATGCCTTGGTAAGAGTACAGTTAGGGTACCTTATTATGGGGCGGCAAACGATTATGTCACCTACTTGAGGGGCACTCATTGTTGGGGGACAGTCGTGGTCTGCTGCGCTGAGCTCAGCACACAGAGAGGCGGGGCAGGGAGCCAGGAGTCAAATAAGGTATTTCAAGGTTCCTGCGCATCTGATGGTCGTATGCACAAGTATCAACGACCTGCTTTACCCCAAAACATCCGGCTTAAGTGATTCAGTGTCAACTTTGGTAACCTACGGCTTTACTTGGTTTACACATAGACGATTATCCTGCAGGGCTTCCGTGTTTGAGTTCGCTTTGATTAATCAATGGTAGAAGAAATCAAAAGTGGATAAAGGAATCGAGGGATTCTATCTTAAGTTGGGACAGTCAATGCCCATCATGCTTATACCAGGTTAAGCCCAACTTAGCGCGTCTTGCTGGGCAGCTTCGGCAAGACGCGTCTATTGCTTCGCCAATCTTAAGATAATTTAGGCATCTCTGGGATATAGCGCCTCCTCAGCAATCTGGGATGTCACAATGCGTCTGTCTGTACGTCTGCGCCTACATAGTACCCATCATAGAAAATGTGTTACCCATCGCGGTGCAATGCAGGTCAGTATGGCACACATGTGACGCGAGCCAATGAGCCTAGGTACACTGCAGCTCCTGTTTCCACAAAGCTCAGCTGTCCCCCACCCCTTTCGCCCACGGAATCATCCAAACGTATTGATCAAAGGTAAGTTGATAGGGCAAGGGAAGCATGAGGTGTCGTCAGCAGTGATTCAGACATGCGTGGCGGGGACAATCAATCAGTCCTTGATGATAGTGCTATCGCCTCGCCTACACCCTGTGCACTATCTAAGACTACCTTGGGTAAAGCAGCAAACCGCCCCCCCTCAGCCCCAGGTTGACAACCCAAGCCTTCAAAGTCTTTCGCGGCACGTCTTTGCCGCTGCGAGTGCTACCTCAAGTGGATGTCGCCCAGACAATAACGTAGGTAGGTAGGTAGGTAGTCATTAAATCGTCGGTGGTTCTGGACGCAAACTGCTGCTGTCCCTGCCCTCACTGAAATCCCAGCTTGGGCTTGTGAATTCGACTAGACCCCCGAAAATCATCTTCGGCTCTACCTGCCTTGCCCTCATACGTGTGGGCGTGCCTTACATCACCTTAGGTAACAACTTGGAGCTTACCTCGTCTAGCCAGACTTGAACCTTCCCGCTCACCTTTACCTCACCTCGCCTGCTCATTTACCCCTCCAAAACAACCCAAAAAAGGTCGATTCTTGACCTCCTGGACCCGGACACTTTGCGCGACCCCTCCATCACTCACTCTCCCGAATACCCAACGCATCTTTGCGACTGAACTTCACATCCAGTCTTTACCAATTCCTGAATAGCTTTCCGAGCCTCCCGCGACCCTGAACCATGGCGTCATCCGGTCTCGGGAGAGGTTCCATCCTCCTCGCCTTCTGCTTGCTTCTGGTGCTTCTGCCAGGTCGCGCCGCTGCCTTTGGCGCCGGCAATATCCCCTCTATTGCCCAGGTAGGTTTTGACACCTTGGACACCTCGTCCAATGTTCCACCGTTTCGTAAACTAATGCATTGCGATCTACGTCTAGGTCGAGGGTCACAATTGGCGTCATGGAGGTGCGCACCTTTGTTTTCGCTCTGCTTACCCCTACAGCTGACTGACATGTTTGCGCACAGATATCGAGGACATGCTCAAGACCATTGCTTTCTTGCATGGCAAGAAATGGACCTCCATGTTGGTATCCCGAGTCTACTTTGGCAACTGGCTTCGAGACTATTCCCAAGCCGTCGACGTGGGCAGCTTGAAGGGAGTCAACGCTCCCACCATCAGAATCCTGGTAAGCCCTTGTCGCGACGAAGGTATCGGCGTGTATCCTTTGTACTGACTCTCTCCGACAGGTATGGGTACTCTCCTTCATGGCCTTTGGCTATGCGACGGAGGAATTCGAGGTCACCGAGGAGCGCCTTGGCGTCTACCGCCCAGAGGAACACATCGACAACCCCCTGGGCTACGCTGACGGCATGGACGCGCGCAAGTTCGACCCTCGCCTGCGCGGTCCCGTTGACCCGGTCGAGACACAGATAGATCCCCGCACTGGCATGAAGAACTACATTGCCAATGAGTCTGGCGGTTGGGCGACCAGTGCTGGCTACTTGCGCTTCAGTTTCGCCCGCAGCATCCATTTCGGCCGGGTTTATACCAGCGGCTCGCGGGGTTCAGGAAAAGAAGCTGATCTCTGCGAGGCACTGCGCTGTCTTGGACAGGCTCTCCATTGTATGGAGGACTTCAGCGCGCACAGCAACTACTGCGAGCTTGCGCTTCGAGAGCTGGGCTATCACGACGTCTACCCTCACTGCGGTACTCAAACTGAAATCAACCTGAATGGCCGCCGTGTCTACCCTATCGTAACGGGTACCTTCGGTGCTGTGGACTTCTTGCACTCTGTTCTCGGAGAAGCTACGGACCACTTCACGCAATCTGAGGTAGACGAAATGAATGTCGCCCTGAAGAATGCCGAGGGTATGTCTGCGAACATCACTGGTGGCGGCACTGGATCTCGTGGCTTCTTGGGGATTGGGTCCTCGAAGCCGAACGACTTCATCTCCCTCGTCGGCCAGCTTCCTGGTATTGGTGGAGATTTGGCAAGCCAGGCTCGTGATTTGCAGGCCCAGTCCAGTGCACAGGAGCAGCAAAACACTCGGTCTGGAGGCGACCTCAGCCGTGGTGACTTAAGCCGCGAGAGTTCCAATCAGGTACCTGGTATGAGCACCAATTTCGACCCTGTCGAGACCGCGCGCAAGATCTATCCGATTCTTCAGTTCCGCGACAAGATTGTCAAGTCCATCAGCAACCTCATCTCCAAGATCCCGGGTCTCGAGAAACTTTTGGATCACATCAGTGAGACGCTGACCGCCTTTATCCTGGGGTTGCTGGCGCCGTTTGTGAGACCCATCATTACACAGGTCTCCAAGGTTCTGAAGGATGGTTCATCTACTGTCATCGACGCAAGCTCGAACTCTCAGCTGGAGCCCTGGAAGAATCCCAACTGCTCTGATCCTACTCACTCCATGCTCTCAAAGGACCATTTCACCAACATCCTGAACTCATGCGCCGGCAGGGTTGCTGCGACTATTCTGCAATATGTCGTCCCGTAAGTAGACACTGTCTATGGTCAGGTAATTTGAACGTAGCTAACGTGAAGATAGGCGAATTCTGTATGCCTGGGAAAATCCGGGTGTTCCTGTTGATGAGGTTGTTAATGACGTCCTCCGGGCTTTCCACCACCCAGCAGCTCGCGATGAGAGAGTCCAAATCCAGAGGGATATGTTCGAGACGGTGCGAAAGTGGGCAAATGAAAGCACTCTCAAGCACGAATTGTCCCACCTGCTCTCGTCCGAGTCTGTCAAGGCTGGCAAGAACCATATCTTGACCGGTGGCGATGGCACGAAGAGCGTTGGAGGTCATACACACTCCCATGGAGCCTTCGACAGCTTTGGAGAGCTGGGACACGGCAAGGTGCAAGGTTCCCTTTGGAACCAGATCCGCACTAGAGATCTCAGCTCCATGGAAGGTGATGACAGGAAGCCCTTGTCAAGCTCTCCCCTCCCTTCATCTCAGCAAGACTATGGATACCACCAGAGCGGCGGTGACACCAGTCACCACTACTCAGCCTCTCAGTCTCAGGGACAGGCTTCTGGCTACTACGGTGGCGGTCATTCCGAGCCCCAAGGCTACGGTCAGCAGCAGCAGCAGCAGCACCAGCCGCCTCCGGGCCAGTGGGGTCCCCCTCAACCTCCGCAGGGCTATGGCGGACCGGGCTACGGTGGTCCTCCAGCTGGATACGGCGGACCTGGGTACGGGGGACCCGGCTACGGTGGACCGCCACAACCTCAATACCCTCCTCACCACGGAGGTCCACCCCCACCGCATCACCAGCAGGGTGGCGGCGGCTGGAGCCAGTACCCGGGCCAACACCGCTACTAGATCATTTTGTGCGGTGCGGAAATGGGAAGGTGTGAACAATTTAACGATCGGGTTGCGGATTACGGACTGGAGTCTTGGGGAACACGGAAATGGATGGGAGTGAAAGGGGCGGGGCACGCAATCCACGTATGGCAGATGAGAATGATTCCCTGGAGCTGTGCTAAACGGCACACAAAGTATGAATTGCAATATTTTATCCTGTGCTTGATGTTCGTATTTTTTGACTTGTATGTTATGCTTTATCTCATCCCTCTTGAATAACCAACCCTTCCTGCCAATGCCCACATGTGGCAGACTAACCGATGAAAGCCCATTTCTAGATGCCCAACTCCTGAAGATGTGATAACGATGGTGAATAATGCTCCATGATTTTGAACAAGACATGCATGGTGAATATCTCGCAGTGGTTGAAAGTATTACTGCTTGCCGCGCCGGGGATCCAGCGCCTCTGCCCTCCTCTTGTCACGGATCTCCTTGGTGCCGAGACTACCGACTCCGCCCTCCGACCTTCGCTCCCAGCCGCCGAGTCTGACTACCAGACAGGTGGCGTTGTCGCCGTCGTGGGAGACCTCGGTGGCATAGTTGACGACATCCTTGGCGCCCTCTTCGGGCGTCCTGGCCTCCTTGATCACGTCGACAATCTCCTGATCGCTGAGTGTGCCTGAGATGCCGTCGCTCATGAGGACTAGGAAGGAATACTGCGCTGGACCAATCTCGACGCGGGTTATTTCTGGCTCGGCCGACACGCCGATGCGTTTGCTTCGCATGTCGCCGAATGCGCGGCTATTGGCCAACCCTGCGATCCGGTCCTCCCCGAAGCTGTCTGCCGAGACCATTGAACCGGCCGGCGCATAACGGCGGAGACGACGGCTTTCCGTGGGAGTGGTTGGGTGATGATCTGACGTCAGGGGCTGTGCGAGGCCGGTAGTCGTTGTGCAAAGAAGTATACGGGTGTCACCCACGTGAGCGACAATCAGGGTAGACTGCGCGTTAGGATGCCAGAATGGTGCTGGAGTAGGCGTCGAAATGAGAGCGACGGATGCCGTCGATCCGCCCTTGAAGCGAGCCGGGCCACCGATGCCGTGGCCTGATGGTGGTTTATGTGGAACCCCAAGGATCTCGTCGTTATTGACGGGGCGATCGTTTGCTTGAGGGTCGTCGGGATCCGGTTTGCGTGCCTGGGCAGAGATGAAATCCAAGTCTGCTCTGAGGAAGGCGTACATGAGGACGGACTCGACCGTCACCCCAGGCTCGTCGGCGTCGTTCATCTTCTCTTCTGATAAATGGAAGTACTCGGGGTTGAAGCGCCGAAAGTATCCTCCGACTGTCTGACGGTACTCTTCCACAAGATCCTGTGCCAACTTGATAGCCTTCGGGATATCTTCTACTTTGGCTGAGACTGGTTTGGCCCCTTTCATGGGCTCCTCTCTTTCCGGATTCGTCAAGACGCCATGCTTGTCTTCCTCGGGAACACGAATGTCGTCCTTGACATCTTCTTCTGTCTTCATAAAAAGCTCCTCATTCGGGTCTTCCTCCTTGCGACCCGTCTCTGGTGCCGGGCTCTTTGCCAGGCTACTCTGAAGGCCGAACTCGGCAGAGGATTGCTCGATGTAGCCATGCAGCTCATCACGTAAGAACTCGGCGCACTGAGATCCGCCGTGTCCGTCGAATATACCAAAGTAGAAGACCTGGGGGTCACCAAGTGCGCTGTCGGCCGATGTCGCCTCGTTTGGTTTCTGGATCGGTCGCCTCTGAAGACTGATAGGGGCCCTTTTAGCAAAAGCCGGCATGTTGATTGTGCCGGCTTGGTTGGTGTCCTCATTGTACCCCCGTTGACCCCTCGAAGAGAAAACGCCAAAGTGATGCTTAGCTCTCTTGAGCGGGATCCGGACCACTGTAAGATCTCGGCTTGGCATACTGAGTGCTGCGGCTACTGGAGATGACCCCGGCGTTACTTTGTGGGGGGTCGAAGCATCGCGGGGCAGCTTGTGACCGGGGCCGGATGACGTTCGGGAGTCGGGGTGCAGAGAAGATGATGGGAGATGGGTGACGAAGTAGTTATGGAAGAGTCGCCGGCTTGTCGAGATCGATAGTCTGTCAGTCTTCAGTATGCTTCCTTGTTCGTAACCGAGTGACGTGCGGGTCCGAATCGAAAGCCGTCGAGGGGTTGGCTCTTGGGTAGTGTAGCATCGTCGGGGCGGGTGCCTAGGGAGTGCGGAAGAGGTGGGCTTGTCGGTGGAAGTTCCGATGCCGGTATCCAGGGAGGAATTCACACATCGCACAGCTGGTGGCGAGAGGATCCGCGCCGTCTCATGATACGGCGGTATTCGTCGCGTTGCGAGACAGCGTGTTAAAGCTGGCATTGTTCCGAAAGGGCGGGAGTCTGTTGGCGAGGAAGAGGGTGTCACCGGCACTGCAGCAGCTCAAGTAGGACGACCTTCAAGCTTGCGAAAGCCATGAGCTAGCTCGTCAAGCTTGAACGGCGGCCTAGGGAACGTGGAGCGGGATTCTGGGTGGGCGAGCTTTGGTCGATGGCGCGAACGAGGGGAAGGCTTGTCAGCTGTTGCGTCGGCGACGGCGAGGCATTGGCGTTGGCAATGGCAATGGACTACCACCGAGCTGGGTATCGTGCGTGGCCCCGGGAAAGTGTCGAAAGGGCGGGAGGGACAGATGGGTCGCAGAGTTTGCTTGACAGCTTTTGTGTTTGTTTCTACGATTGACTGCTTGGTCTTGACACTGTGAGATTGGAGGATTGGGTTTGGCCAAGGCACACTGTCGGCCTCGGTTGGATCATGGATGGACCCAGCGACGTAATAAGACGGACCTGGAAAGGAAGGACGGGACGGGGACATGCTGAACCTGGAGGTACCTTCTCCGTGCTCTGCCAGCTGCTTGCCTTAGCTGCAGCTAATCCCGCAGGCTACCCTTGGATTCGGTTAGGAAGAACGGGCCTACCGTACCGTATCCCAGGACCTAGGTAAGGGAGGTGCTGTGTATCCGTAGGTAGGTAGGTACCTGCCGAAGCTGTTCTAGGTGGTGTAAGCAGTACCTGGATAAGTCACACATACCTTACCTACCAACCGACAGCTGCCACGGGCGTTCGGCTGGGATAATCTTATCTAATCAGCACCCGGGACACACCGTGTAAATGCTCAGATTCGTGGTCAAAGAAACACAGTAGACCCACTGCGGTGGCATCGGGCAGGCAGAAAGGGCCTTTGTCTCCTGGAGAGGCGAATGACATGAGTGTCACTGACACGGCCTTATTAATGACATTTTTGCATACTCCTACGCATCCAATCTCAAGACGGCTGCCTGACTGACATAACATTTTGCTGGAGCCGTGCGATGGCCAAGTATAGCATCGACATACATGTCAGTCCCTGAGTCGCGGCAGAGATTCACCTCCCAAGTTGTGCTGTCTTACGATGGGAGACTCGGCAGCAGTTCAGGATGACACATCGGATATGTCCTCGGGCGCCTCTCCCCCCGTTGTGCTCGTATCCGACGATGGGGACATTATTCTAAACGTTACATTCGAGACGTCCAGAGAAACGATTGCTGTGGCTCGCAGGACTTGGCAAGCCGCCAGTAAGAAGATTGGCGCACCACGGATGCCCCAACCCAACCTGAGCCCCAACATCCAAGTCGCCTACCGAGTCAAGCTTTCCGTATTGAGAAAGCACTCTCGGTACTTTGAGAATCTTCTTGGCAACAAACAGTTTGCCGAGGCGAGTAACGTCGAGGAAACCCTCGCTCGCCTGACCGCGGACAAGCTCAAGCTGGCGGAAGTAGATGCCAGAGACTTACCCTGGATCACAATCGTCGATGACGATGAGGCAACCCGATCCATCGGCCGCGAAAAGGTCTTTGAGGACTTGATGAGGATCATGCATGGGAAGCAGATACAATCCAACTCTGTCAACATGCTTCATGTGACTACTCTAGCCATTCTGGCCGATCGATTTGACTGCCGATCCTTGGTCTCAAGATACCTTAGTATCGAGCTCAAGTTCAAGTGGCCCTTGACAAATGCCAAACCGGTGCGGGCGGGCACTCAGAAGAAAAGCCTAGACACCGAGAATGTGCTCAGGCAGAAGATCCTGGTCGCTTGGCTGCTGGAGCAGCCGCCCAGACTCCATAACTACACACGAGAATTGATTCTCCGTGGCTCTGTCCGATGGAGCGAATTGTCACTCGATGAAAATCCACGTACTGAGCTTTGGTGGAGTCTGCCGGATGGCTTGGAGAGTGAGCTGTTTGGCCCTGGTTTCAATAACTGACATTTGCTGACTTGGGATCAGGGGAATTACAGTCCCGGCGGGAGTGTGTTTTGAATACCATTGCTTCAGTCCATCGCCATTTCCTTGCCCTCTACTCGTCTCGCGAGAGACAATGTAAGCTTGGTTACGACTCGAGCTCCGCTTGTGACTCGTTCCAGCTGGGCCAGATGCTCAAGTTCTTTACGGCCAAGGAGCTGATTGGTATTGTTGACTTTGGACCCAGCTCCTACGACAATATTCCAGATTCCTCGGTCATTGATATCGAAGACATACTGGCAATCCTGAAGCAAGTGCCAAGCTATCAGATTGACAAGCACCACACCAATTGCGGTATTCGAGCACGTCTCGACTCGATTGTGGAGTACATCAGATCGATGATGTCGTCCAACGTCTTGTCTATTGCCCAGGTCGAGTGGAAGAACAACCAGGCAACGGCAACATGGGTCCCGGCAGAAGACGTGTCGAAAGTGGACAGAGAAGAGAAGAAGTTTGACTTCACTAGGAGCTTGGCAGGCGATCAACGACTCCGGTACGAGGGCAATATGTATGCTGATAAGATGGCGCGCAGACTATTCACCGCCGATAGATGGGATTGGACGCCAGAATATTGATCGAATAGAGGCACAAAACTCACAACACCTGGGAAGGGTGCAGGACCAGTTGATATTGAATAGAGACGTTTTCCCTCTTCGCTTCAGTATTGTAATCGATCCTGGCAACGCCAAGTTTGATTCTCATTAGTTGTGTTCTTGAGGTGTCATGGATGGATGACAATCACATGTAGTCTTTAATTCTAGACGAACACACAGAGAGGCTTTCGTAAATGCTTTGGCTAGATTTACAAACCAATGTTTAGCCCAATTTATCCTATAAAGTTGGCCACCCTTGTGACCTCATTATCATACAGACAGCTTTCATATTACGTTGTCCACAAGCATAGGTATCTTTTTTCAGACATGATCGTCCATAGATTCGAGGGTTCAATAACGACACTCAGATGCCTACCAATCACGACGAAGCGGTCACTGTCTTCGTGGTCGCTGCCCCCTTATCCTTCTCAGATGTGCTCGCCTGCTCGCTTCCGCTACGGTCATCGGAAAGACGCCTGTCGGCTTCCCGTGGGACCTTTGCCTTCATGAAAGGCCAGTGCCCCTTGGTCTCGTGGAATCTCATGAGGAGGAAGCAGCCGATGACGAAGATCCAGTAGACATTGTATGAGATCACGGAGCCGTACGTTGCCGAGTTTGTCCATCCGAGGACGGCATTGAAGATACCCCATCCGCCGCCACCGTTGAGCTCTGGGCTGCAGCACTTTCGAGAGGTCAGTACTGGGCGTCAGTCAAGAAACGAAAATAGACTTACGTTTACGTGCCACACGCTCTTGTCAATGTCATACGAACCCGGTCCATTCCCAAGCTCTGCAGCATCACCGCCGACAACCTTATTCCATTCTTGCTGCTCAAAGTCACCTACTGCCCTGGAAAAGAGGCCAGCGGCAACGAGGTACAAGAGACACGTGGAGATGACAAGGAACACTTGCAGCTTGGCCGTGGATCCTCCCCTTCGCCAAAGTCAGCATGCAGTTGGACATCGTTAAGAGTCATACAACTTACTTGTAAAGGAGGTAGCCGACAAAGGCGCCTACAATCAACCCGACGATAGCGGGCAGCGGCACAGCAGACGCGGGCGCAGAGAAGGAGACGCCAGCGACGAAAACAATTGCCTCGATGCCTTCACGAAGCACGGTGATGAAGGGCAGGATGAACATGGCGTACTTTTCGGCGAAGCGCTTGAACCACCCCCGGCTCGCACCAGTCTTGACGGGAGACTCCATTGCCTTTGCCAACTTGACGCGCCACTTCTCCTGCATTTTACCAATGCGAAGTAGAGCAGCACCCATGATGGTGATAATGACGGCGGCGAGTAGAGAAAAGGCACCTTCGTAGTAGAGCTCGTGGGCCTCCCAACTGTTTCGGCCGACCTTGTAGAAGACGGCGATGACGACAGCTGCGGCGATCAAGCATATCAAGAAACCGATACCTGTACCGAGCCATACCTATTGGGAGAACGCATCAGCAACGGTTCTCGGTTCACGAGTGTCTCGATTGTCGTTACCTGTCTGCGCAAGGCCTTGTACACGGCTACATCTCTGTTGGGTCCATCGAGAGTCTGCTTGAGGAAAGCCAGCAAAACCGACACAATGATGACGGTTTCCAGAGACTCTCGAAAGACGACCAGGAATACTGGTACAGAAAACACGTCGACGGTCATTTTTGGCACCTGTGAGAAGGGCGTATGTCGTTTGTCTTGGTCACAGATTCCGAGCAACGAAGAAGGAAGAAAGAGGAAAACAGACTTTTGTCTGACAAGCGTGGAGAGGGGAGACGGGCAACACAGGCACAGATTAATCTGATAAAATCAAATCAGATAATCGCTGGGACTAGCCGATGAGGGTGCCGGTACTGGTTGGTCTTGTGGCAACGGATACGAAGAGCCGAAAGGCGGAACGCTAGCCCAAATTTGCCCAAGGCCAGTAAGTAAGGACAGGCATATCTTGATAATCAGCCGACCTTTTCTTGTACGGTAGCAATCAATCATTGACTTATGGAAAGGGCGGAACATCTGCTCTGGACCGACTGTAGTCCGAAGGGAAGGTTGAGGCGAGGGCGACAAGGCGAGGAGGGGAGGTGGGACGAAGGTGGTGCAAGCTCCAAAACCCGGTTCCAGGCGTAGGGCCAATTAGACCAGCGCCGAGGTCTCATTGTTGCATGCAGACCGGACCATTCTCCTTTACGACAAGCTTTTCTAGTTGGTTTTAGTACATTTTGGAAGGGGAGCTTCCTGTTTCTCGTTTCGTGTTACGGTGTTGGGGATAAAGCATGCATGGGAGAGAGAGCTGCATCCCTGGGACTGGCTCGCGTTGCTTAGCGCGGATTGATGGGGAAGGGGGCCTCAAACGGGCAAGGATACTTGAGGCACTTATGCGCTCGCGATATTGCTCGATCCTTGAGAGTTTGACGGGCGGGAAAGGCTGGTGGGTGCGTTGCTGTGATCTGATGGTCGAGATGTAAAGGAAAGGCCCGTGATTCTGACGATCGACATGAGATGACACAGATTGACTTGCCTCTAGCCTAGCATTATTTCTATCTTTGACAAGAAGGACAACGGAATGGACTGTCGCTGAGACGCCCAATTGTCGATCTTCAGCCATATGTCGGCAACGTACAACGCCGTTGACTGGTGCTACGCCAGACAAGCAATGTAGCGGATGCTGGAGGTGTCTTGATGTGGGATGCCGGCGGCAAGCCAGAGATGGGCTCAAAGATGTGCTAGACTGCCACTGCTAGGTGACCATTGAGCCGGCTGGTTCCCGTGGCGGGACTCATTACTCGTGACAATATCACTGACAATGTACAGCTTGGAATTAGTTGGCCTCGACAGCGATGGCGGATTTCCATCAACAGCATTGCGATCGCCGCCAAAAAAAAGTCTGATAGGCTGAGGGATTTGGAACCAGCTTTCATGAAATTTGAATGGGCACATGGGACAGATTGACCTAAAGGTATCTTGTCACTTCCAGCCAAGGGTTGGCAATCATGATAAGTTGAATGACCCTGAATGAACCCTCAGCCAACGGGATTCCATATACTCCGTAACTCTGCACCTGGTCTTCTGCTCTCGAGGACCCCCTTCGACACCTTTGTGTATTGGTTCATCCTGAGTTTCTATGACAGATCTCGCTGTTCAGCTCGCTCGAGAATCCCAGCAAGGCCGAAAAGCAATTTCCACACTTTCAGCATTGACGGAAACCGACGGAATGGGACGAGGTACGTAGTAGAATAGTCGAGAGACCCTCTTTCTCGACTTCGCATGGAGTCATGGTCTCTTCTTTTACAGGCCATCTTTGCCCACCTCGCCCACTTCGGGGACACCTTCTGGCAGAAGCGAGGCCAGGCGAGACCTGGGTTCGCCTTAGCGCGGGGAGACAAGCTTTTTCTCGGCTGTAGGGGCCCCTGGTTAGTTGATCTCCTTTGCAGGTGAAAAAGGTCCCCTCCCCACCCTTTCTCTTTTGCAAGCTGCAATAGCAACGTGATGGACGAATGATGCCGAGTTCCGTGCGAGCCAGTCGTTTTCTCTCGCTACTACAAGCCATCGCCTCGCGCGCCTCGCGCTATCCATCGACGCCTGAGGTCTTTGGGTCTGAGTGGCTTCTGGTAGTGTAGAAAGCTCAGTGGTCTTTCGAGTAACATCTGATAAGATGATGGCGCGCTAAGGGGGTAGCGTGTGCCCAGCCGCCCCCCTCCGGCCAAGGAGCTGGAACGAAAGGTGTCGGGACCAGTGGAAGATCAGATTGATAAGATGTCTTGGGCAAAGTGCCAAAAGCCGCGAAAAGAAGCGACAAGGGGAGGAGGGGGTGGAAACTCGAAGAGCGCCATCCCAGCCAGGGTGGCAAGCATTGGTCCTCCTCGCCAGAAGTTGCCGTTTCCTTGAAGCGAATTGAGAGGAGAGCCAGCCAGACAGATAGACGGACCTGACCCAAATCGAACGGAAGTTTTGTAGAGGGCCCGTTTCCCTTTCTTTCGAACGATGTGAATTCTTTTTGCTTCCGGTCTGTCCCCGGATCAATCTTCCTGAAGGGATACACAAGAAGCCGCTCGTGTCACTGCGAGACTTGTCATTCTCCGCCGCCTTGCTCCTGGCGAATTCTTTCCTCCCCCGCGCACCACGGAATAGCAAAGACCGAAGCAGAGGAACAGAAGAAGAAGAAACGTAAACATGACAGGCACAGCAGGCCTCTTGGCCCTCCTCTCCGCCATCGCGCAGACGGCCTGCGCTGCCACAGTCACGTATGACTTCAACATCGGCTGGGTGACGGCAAACCCAGATGGTGCCTTCGACCGTCCGACAATTGGTATCAATGGCCAATGGCCGATTCCTCGCATCGATGCCAATGTCGGAGACAATGTTATCATCAATGCTCATAACCAGCTAGGGAATCAGTCGACCTCCCTTCACTTCCACGGCCTCTACATGAACGGCACAACCCATATGGACGGACCGGCTCAAGTCAGCCAGTGCGCCATCCCGCCGGGGTCGTCTTTCACGTACAACTTCACTGTAAGCAGTACTTTTTTTTTGAGAGGGTTGATGAGAGAGACTTGCTGACGGTCGAGTGTAGATCAACCAGCCGGGAACATACTGGTACCACTCCCATACTCAGTCGCAATATCCCGACGGCCTGCGACAAGTATTCGTCATTCACGACCCAAGCTCTCCCCTCAAGGACCAATACGATGAAGAAGTTGTTGTATCTCTGTCCGATTGGTACCATGACCAGATGGCCGACCTCATTCCTCCCTTCATGAGCAAGGGCAACCCAACGGGTGCAGAGCCCGTCCCGCAAGCCGCTCTCATGAACGACACGCAGAACCTCAAGGTCCCGGTGCAGCCTGGCAAGACATATCTCTTTAGACTGGTCAATGTGGCTGCCTTTGCTGGGCAATACGTCTGGATCGAGGGCCATAACATTTCTATTGTTGAGGTCGACGGCGTCTACACGGAGCCCGCGGAGGCGAGCATGATCTATATCTCTGCTGCTCAGCGGTACAGCTTCCTCGTGACGACCCGAAATGATACCTCGTCCAACTTTGCGATTGTGGGAAGCATGGACACTGTAAGTTATGGCCCAGCTCCAAACCGTATCTCTCGCACACAAAGCTCACCAAATAGTCACTCTTCGATACCCTCCCGGATGACCTCAACTACAACGTAACCGGCTGGCTCGTCTACGATGACTCGAAACCTACAGACCCTGCAGCGACGCTCGACGCTTTCAACCCCTTTGATGACATGACCCTCGTCCCTTACGACAAGCAACCCCTCCTCCCGGAGCCCTCTCAGACTGTTGAGCTCGATGTCATCATGGACAACCTTGGCGACGGTGCAAACTACGCCTTTTTCAACAACATCACCTACAAGGCTCCCAAGGTACCCACTCTCTACACCGTCCTCTCCGCTGGTGACGCCGCGACAAATGCAGAGGTATACGGCACATACACCCACCCTTTTGTGCTCGAGCGCAACGAGGTCGTCCAGATCGTTGTCAACAACCTCGACCCGGGCCGTCACCCCTTCCACTTGCACGGCCACAACTTCCAGGCCTTGTACCGCGCCGCCGAAGACGGTGGCACGTTCGCCGATGCTAATGTTACCGAGGCGGATTTCCCTGCTACGCCGATGCGTCGTGATACCCTCGTTGTTTGGCCGAATGGAAACATCGTTTTGCGATTCAGAGCAAACAATCCTGGTGAGTTGGTCTACACAGTCCAACATGTGAATGTGTCCCATGTTGAGATTGAACCATCACGTTTTCTAACAGTCCTGAACTCCAGGCGTCTGGCTATTCCATTGCCACATCGAGTGGCACGTAACCTCTGGTCTGATGGCAACCTTTGTCGAGGCACCGCTGGATCTCCAAAAGAACCTCACAATCCCTCAGAACCACTTGGACGTCTGCACTGCAGGCAGCGTGCCGACGATCGGCAATGCCGCAGCTAACACCAGGGACTACCTGGATCTGAGCGGACAAAACACACCGCCATCGCGTCTTCCGGATGGGTGAGTCATCTTGACACTTCACCGCTGTAATAAACCATGGATATACTGACGGGAAGCTTAAAACATTAGCTTCACCTCGAGAGGAATTGTCGCTCTCGTCTTCAGCTGTATCACCGGCATCCTCGGCGTTTTGACTGTGGCGTGGTACGGTCTCGCAAAGACGCCAGACGGCCCCTCCGAGTCCGGGTACAGGGCGCCGGCGCCGGGTGTGGCCGCGGAGGTGGACCACACCGCCGGAAATCATCAAAAGGAACCAATCATGGTTGGAGCCGGACCCGGCGGGTCTGGTGTAAGTCATGCTTGACGGTGAAATGGTATGATAGTTGTGCAGTGAGCACCATACTGTTGTTGAATGGATGAGCACAGGTGCAGTTCGGCCAAGCAAGCCATTTTGCCCTGGCCGGGAGGCCATGGCGGCTCATCCACGTAGCAGGATGGTGTAGCACTGTAGCGTAATATTTCCTTTGACGAAATACTTCGTGACGACGTTTGTAAGAGTTTGGGGGCCCGATTTCATGAATAGATGAAATATCAATTAGTCTAATGTGTGGAAGAAATTGAATAATGAAGACAACAAACTCCAGACTCCTGAATCTGACGTTCGGCCAAGACTCTCGTTTCCTTCTTCTCCTACGTGATTGTCCTCGGCGTTCCTAGCCGGACATGTGTGAATGCACCTGGTGCCATTAGAGTTCCATACCAAAGGAATTTGCTCCTCGCCGTGCTCCTATTTTCTAGAGACTACACGGTCTTATACTCGAGCTCCTCAATTCTCTCTTTTCCCAGCACCGTCGCCAGTCGCCGGTGACGTGGCCATTTTGGTACGTCGACACGGATCCGTTGATGGTGCAGCTGCCTTCTCCTGCCATCTTATCACGGAGAAGGCGCGCTCTGGAACGCAAGCTCCCTCGTAAGCAGATTGACGTCAGAAGCAGCGTCCGTTGGTGCGAACGCACTTGTCGCCACTTGCTTCCTGACTTAGGTGCTCTTGGTCTGCTTCCTGGGCAAGCCCTGCGCCTTCCTCATGGCGAGGTCGCCCTCAGCGAGCCATTTGCTCGCCTTGACAATTTGCACAATGTTGATGAACTGCTTCATAGCCATAACGGGGAAGCTGATGGCAGTAAGGACCCACGGCCAGAAGGAATCCATCTTGTTCGCGCGCGCAAGCTCGAGAGCTGCCGCGCTGTAGGGATTCGGGAAGATCTGGCTAAGCAGCGACGTATTGACCTGCGCGCCGGCCTGAATCTGCATTGCCTCTGAGTTGGAGACGGAGTTGAGGAGAGAGGGCGACAGAAGCGGCGAGGAGAAGGACAAGAGGTAGAGGGCTATGAAGAATAGTTCGTTTAGGGCGCAGAAGACGAAGAGAACAGTCTACAGGGCATCAGGTCAGCTCAAAAGTCGGGTTCACTGCGCTTGAAAGTGTAACGGACCTTATTGGTGTAGTACAAGTGCAAGATCCAGCTGCGGCTCTCGTCGACATTCTTGTGGCTGCTTTCGGAGCCCGCCATGGTGAGAGTGGTGTACATGTGGATGTAGTGGCTCGAGAAGTCAAGTGAGAGGAGCATCTGGAAGACGATGGTCCAGCGGGGGAACGCGCAGGACAGGAACACCAGCAGGCACGAGGTTGTGCATCTGTCCGTGACCATGTCCAGGACGGCGCCGAAGCGCGTGGACTGCTCAAAGGCACGAGCGGCGTATCCATCGAGAGCATCCAGGAGACAGGACACGCTGTACAGCAAGGAGCAGGTTCGTGGGTGGAGGGGCATGTAGTAGAGGGAGGCGATGGCGAGCACGATGCGCGAGTAGCCTGAGACGGGACACTTGTTAGCTGTTTGCTAGCATGCCTACAGCTTGCCAGACAGACGAACCGATGATGTTGGGCCAGAACAGGAAAATGTTCTCTTTAGGGCCATCTTCCGAAGCTTCCGTCACTGACGTTCCGTTGCCATTGCCATTCATCGCGACCTGGTCGGCTGGTCCGGTGGTTGTAACTTTGGATGATTCCGCAGCGGCGGCTTGGGCGGCTTGACGCCTCGTTTGTCGGACCGACATGGTGATGGGTGTCTGGAGGCTGTAGCTCAGTAGATGGAAGAGGTTGATCGGTCGAAGAATGGGGCGCGAAGAGCTTTTAAACGGCGTGGATGAGGCGACCGAGGCAGCCGGCGTTCCAGTGGAGGTTACACGGTAGATCGATAAGTGGCTCCTAGTGACAGGATTCGTCGCCCAAGACAAGGGATGGAGATGGGTGCAGAATTGCCAGCCAGCCTTGCGGAGATGAGCTATCGAAGAGGAAATCAGTGGACGCAAGAGATGTCGGATCGGATTGACGGACGGAAGCGAAACGTGTAGGATGGTTTGGTGGAGGAGGAGGAGGTGTTGGAAGAGAAAGGAGTGTTCGAGAGGCAGCAGGCGCAGTGAAATGATACAGATAGCAGACGCCTGTGCTGATGTGGCATGGGACGGTACGTTCGGAGTGGTGGGTTGAAATTGCTCAAGGGCCTGCGGTGCCAGCTTACTGCGTTTTCTCAGCTTGAGCCTTGAGCAAGCTTAGCCGGTGTCAAGTCGACCCAAGGTTCCCAAAGTGACAGATTGCGGCACGCTATCGTTGCTTGGCTTCTCCTTTCTCTTCCATTCTGATCTCACAGAATAAGTTTCCACCCACTACCATTCGTTCGTACACTACATGCACTACCTACGGAGTACAGAATCCATGTGTACTACGTACGCGTAAGGCAAGGTATCTCTTCCCCTGGATTTCTATGGCGAGGTACCTACTTCATGAAGCGGGTCTTCTGCCCTGCCGACCCCATGCTCGCCCGACCTTACCTACCTTACGTAGGAAGCAACCACTGTTTGGCCAGTCTTACATATCTTGCAGGTGTTCCGGATCGGCAGTGGGCACACTCTCTCGACTCCAGTTGCCATTTTCGCTAAGTTGCCTCTCAACAAGGGTTTGAAGGCGGAGACAAACGCTGCACTCCTCGAGGTCCTTGTGTTACCTTACTACGTTGGCACGTTGGTAAAGACCGTAAGGCGCGCTGCTATTCGTAGGTTTCAAGTATCCGCAGCCTCTGGCAGGTTCGACCTACCCAAAATGACCCAGCTACCTAAGGTAAGGTGTTAGCGGCCTTTTGAATCTAGCAGTGATAAGAAGATACAGGATAAGAGAGAGATAAGGCAAGGTAGGTAAGACACCTCGAGGTGGTTGATGGGCAGGCTGATGCGCCATCTCGCTTCCTAATTTCGCTTTCGTTCATATCATCACCAAGAAGAGATCAAACTGCACAAACGAGCATGCACTACCTACTTCACGTTATAACCATTACTCGAACATCTTCCCTCTTGAGAGCGATGAATGATAGCACTAGGTAGATGTCAGTTATGTGGCATTTGACTCCAGCCTACCCATCCGTTGGAGCCTGAGATTCGCACTAGGATCCAAGGCATGATAAGAGAAAGATACCTTACATGGAACCTTGGAACTTTAGCACGGCTCTTATCGATGTAGGCAACTGAAGAACACCATGCCCTTCTACACGACTCATCCAAGCGTGTGTTGGGCATTCTAGATTTTCTCATCTTCCCCATGTCTTTCAAGCATCCCTAGGCCAGAACGGGATTGTGGGAACTATGAGAACAGGCATCGAAATCTCATATCCCTCATCAATGTTCCTTCACATCAACAACCTAATGATGACGACAACGACGATGGCAGTGACGAGACAACCCCAGACCTTCCATATGCGCCCGCAAAATGCAAGAGCAAAAGTCGCTTGTGAAGCGCACCTGCCTTGCTATAAGATAACACCAAGGTACCAGGCAGGCAGGCACCTGCATGTCTCGGATCTTCTATCTCTAAGTACCTTATTATTAAAAAAAGTTAATTCTTTCTAAGTTATAAGTATAAGAATATAGTTTTAATAAAATAATATAGTACTTATTTAGTATTTAAATTAAAATACTTTTTTAAGCTTATTATAAAAAAAATTATATTATTAATTATTTATTATTAAGGTTTATAAGTAGTATTATAGCTTTAATAATAATAACTTTATTTATAATAAATAAAAAATTTAATTATAAATTCTTTAAAAGTCTTTTTTTAAGAACTATAAGGGCTTTTAAATTAAATTAAAATACTTATTAAAATATTAATAACTAAATTAATTTTATAATAATAACTTTAATAAAAAACTTAATAAATAATATTAAAAACCTTATTAATATTAAGTACGATTTATAAAATATAATAACGTAATTATAAAGTATTATTAATATATTTTATATTAAAAAAGTATTATTAATACTAATAAAACGAATAAGGTTATATTAATATAGTACGTCGGCTTTTTTTTATAGCTCGAGGATAATTATTTTAAATAGTATTAAAAGTTTATTAAAAAGCTCTTTTAAATACTTTAATATATTTATTACTATTTTTATAATAATAAGATTCTTAATATTTATATATAAAAATAAGTTACTTATTTTTAAATAATAATATTAGTTTATTAATAAGCTATTAAAACTACGATTTTAATAATCCTTTAATAAAAAAGAAAATAAAATAGAAGAAAAGATAGGTAAGAAAAGGGTTAAGGTTAAATAGTACAGAATTCGAGGGTAGGGTAGCGTCTATATATACTACGGCAATCCTCTAGTAATGCAAAACGATAGAGTTAAACAGTGGGATCTTCTTATCTCAATAACATGTCGTGCGCCTGAGATAACCTGGTGCTTCTGAACCAATGCTGGCTTGCTAACTTCACGACTTGGCCCCTGTCCATACTTGTCTCAGGCCTATTTTCTCTCTCGTCCTCTCTCTCTTGCGATGACCAGTCTTGCACCACCCCGCCATTGTTATCTTCTTTCGAAGAGCACCCCACAGTCGTATCGCCCAAGGATTCTACCCCACCAAGAATAAATCTTCAAGAATCAAGATACAGTTGCTGGCAGTGAGCCATACAAGTCATCACCCACGTATGCATTTGCTGAAACAACTACTCAACATGTCTGCCGCTGCTGAAGTATCGCTAGCTCTCGAATTTTGCACTGCCTTCGATTCCGCTTTGGCTCCATATGGTCTGATGGACAGGCCACAAATCGATCATGCTGTCCGAGCCGTTGGCTGGGCTCGTGAGCCTTGGCTGTCAGATTCAGTCCGAGTGCACGCACGGAACGAACTGTATACTACCGGGTCTTTTACTAGTACCCTAGACCAGAGTCTTGAAAACATAGTTTCATAGACTAACATCCTCGCCGGGAGGTTGCCGATCGCGGGGACCTGAATATGTCGCGCCCTCGGGTGACAAGTTGATGGAGCTCGTCTGCGGAATAGTCTCGGCAACAGATAGGTTGTTTGGCGGGAGGTCCTTATTAATGGAGCAGGTCGGGGATTTGCCAAGGCCGTTCCCGAGAGCTTGGGCGTCTTGCAGGCATTTTCGAAAGCCAGCTTTGCCACAACCTGTTGATTTCTATCTACGGATACTGCGCAGGTCTGCACGTGTTTGACAGTGTGACAGACTGGCCATGAGTCGGCGTTTCTGCGCTACCATCGGCAGAAGCCGTTGGGCTAAGTTTGAAAAGGGAACGAGGCCAGGGCTCCCGGCAGAAGGTAGCATGGTTGCGGGGAAGAGGCACACACCGTTCTTTGGTTCATCGGACTTCCCGTCTCTCCCTCGCAAAATGGCACGAGAATGCCTTACTTGGTGGGACTAAGGCCCGGGGGCATGGCACGATATTGCCCAGCCGCTCGGGCTTGATAGGCCAAATAGAAGCAGCTATGGATACGGATACGTGAAGCCCAAGTAGCTCACTACTGACCAGGCTCACCTACAGCTTCGGGCCCGTACTATAGCCTTCACCGTTGCGTAGTTCTGGAGGCGGCCGCGGCGGCCTCACCGCATGAGACGGCGTTGCCGCTTCCGGCGGCGAATTTCGACGGCTGCGGCCACACGACGAGCCAAACAGCCCAACCAGCCTTCCGGGTCACCACAGTTGAGTTCGGCCGGCCTCTCTCTCTCATCTACGATACGCAGAGAATGGCGATGGTGTACAAGTCACGGTGGCCTCTTCAGACTTCGTGGACCAGGATGCTCTCCTTTGGTCCACACCCTATCACATCTCAGTCAAGACGGATACTCTGCGCTTCCAACAAATTTTTTTTCTTTTGCAACGGGCCGACAGGGAGATTGACACAATTCGCACTGCCGCTCAATGCGACGCAAAGTCAAGCAGTCGAGGACATGGGATTGGTGCGTCCACTGCATCCATGGTTTCCGTTTTACGACACCACCATTGTGTTAGCTGGGCGGTCCTGCGCAAGTGGTGGTTGCTGTCTTTGGCGACAGTTCCATCGGCGTACAAAAACACACACCACAAATAGAAGGAATCATCAAAACCCTTGTCCACAGGGCTACACGTCACATTTGCAGGGTCTGATCGGGGAAAGAAAGATACTTTTGCCGGACGTGTGGTCTGTTCCAGAACGTGCAAAAGGTGGGTTCGAGCCCATCTCGTCTGGTCGCCCACGTCGGTCTGCCTCTGGGGATCGACTCAGGCATGTTGCCGTCGAGCCTGGGAGGTGCCGCGGCTCGAGCTTTGCCTGTTTCTTCCCTTCTTCTGTAATTTTTTTTTATGGTTTTCCATTCGGATTGGCTTCGGGGGCATAGTTTGATGGCGAAATGTATCTGCCGCAGTATGGTCAGCGGCCCCTCGAAGCTCCGGGGCCGGTTTGGCCTGGTGAGATGAGGTGATGGGAGCTGAAGTCGGCTATGTATTGAATCATTCGCTCAAGTGACCATCGGCGACGCAGTCCATCCATTGGCATGCCTGGAATAAGTCAGTCCCTTAGTTTGGCATTGGCGGCGGCATGGACAGGTCTGGTTGCCGGGATGCCACATGGAAGGTCGGCATGCTTTGGTTCTAGGACTATGGACATAGGTACACTACGAATACTAATCAGTAATCGACTACCTAATTAGCCCACACCGTATTGTGCAGTTGTATAATGCCTTTGAACACCAGGCCAGGTGTCTTGCAGTGAGTGCCTCACTACGGTACCTTTGTCGATTCAGAGTATCGTACACCGACAAGGATGTGTCGGGATGTTCCAGCCTGGCCAAGAACGGCGGTGTCCCTGGCCAGTCCGATTCCGATCACCAGGAATGCAGCAGCTGGACTCTGTAGACTAGCGGGAGAGGTAAAGCTACCTTACGGACCACGGTAGATGACGGTGTAGTCATGCCGCAAGACAATATGGAAATGGATGTGTACCTACGAGTAGACGAAGATGGTGTAGGAAGCGAGAAAAAGGGGGCATGGAGTTTTAAAATTGAGGTAAACTACAGATGGATGAGCCTTTTGATGCAAATTCATTGGATTTGTTGCCAAGCCCAAGGTCCAAGGTACTTGAACATAGTAGGAGCAATTATCCGTACCTTACCTAAGGTACCTCACCTTACAGATACCTTGGTAGAGAACTCCCGGCAAAGGATCCGTACGGATAGCCCAAGCAAAGTAGTTAAGAGGAAGGAGCGGAGGTGGAGGAGGCGGAAGAAGAGGAAGAGGAGGAGAGAAGGGCATCGGACAGGATCCCGTCTTTTCCTCCCTCTTGGGTTCCTTCCATTGACGCTATCCCTCGGGTCCCTCCGATATTGCCTGCTGCTACCCAAGGTAAGTTAATAGCAAATAGCACCAGAGCATTCTCATCAATGTTTCTCTCCGGTACTCTCTGAGTCCAGTCTTCTCTCCTCCCGTCTCCTGTGACTGACACGGTACCTTTTTTTTTTTTCTCTTGTCTTCTTGATTCAATGACCCATGCACTTTTTTTCTTTTTCTTTTTTATGTTGGTTCCTCCTGGATCTCCCGCTCCGGCCCCCAAAAGTGGCACCCTTGCCTCTGAGGTACCCTGCACCCTCCCCTCCTCCAATCCAGCCCCCTTCTTGCCTTTTTTTTTTTTTTTTTTTTTTTTTTACGGGGATCTGGACATGCAGAACGGATGAGAGAACCCCTCCATCGTCCCCCTCCAAGCCCCCCATTCCCTCCCATGTTTCCCCTCCGACAATTTTTTAGTCGGCCGCTCTCAGCACACCTGGCTTGCGGCTTGCGGCTTTACCTGGGACTGGGACTGGGACTGGGACTGGAAGTCTGGGACAGAGTACGGAGTACCTAAGTAAGGTACCTCACTGCGGACGAGACTGGGCTACCGTACCTAGCTGCTCGGTACCTACCTTACCTACCTTAGTCTTAAGCGCACCCCCACAGTCACATTGCACACACACACACACACACACAACACATCAACTTCTCACTAACTTATTATCTGTTCTAGTCCTCACTAAAAAAGTCCAGCCCACCTCACGCTGTCTCGTCACTTTATTATTCTGGCCTCCCGCCTCGCGCTTCCTTTCCCCTTTACTCTCTGGTCGGCTCTTCATCTGTCTCTCCCTCACGTCACGGCACGCCCACGTTGCATCTAGTCAAGCTTCTCAATTCCAAGTCAAAGCCCAAGCCCGGCACGGCACGAACACCCCCAGACCTGAGCAATTCGCAACGCCCTCGTGTGGCTCTCGTACCTAACCATACAAAAACCCTGTTTGCGCTCTCTCAGCCATCTTCGTCACTTCCGAATTCACCCCCTCTCTTCCCGCTTGCTCGGCATCCCCCCCTCCCCCTCTCGGCTTCAACTTCACCCAACCCAGACAGGCACCTTCGCCTTCTCCACCGCCGTACATACCTCCTTCAATTGGAAGCCTCGCCGTAGTGTACAAATCCCACGAACCTGGTACCGCAGCACGTCCCTTTCGCGCATTCGACCACAGTATTGACGAATCGAGAGACATCTGCTAGGATGACCTCTCACGGTACTTTGAAGGCGACCTTCGCTGGCCGCGCCGAATCCGCCAGCCATCCGCTCACAGCCTACCTCCTCCGATTGATGGACCTGAAGGCATCCAACCTCTGCCTCAGCGCCGATGTTCCCACCGCACGAGAGTTGCTCTACCTCGCCGACAAGGTCGGACCGTCCATTGTCGTCCTCAAGACACATCACGATATCGTCTCCGGCTGGGACTTCAACCCGCAGACTGGTACCGGCGCTAAGCTCGCGGCACTAGCTCGCAAGCATGGTTTCTTGATTTTCGAGGATCGCAAGTTCGGTGACATTGGCAACACGGTCCAAATGCAATACGTCGCTGGGTCGGCAAGGATTATCGAGTGGGCGCACATCATCAACGTCAACATGGTTCCGGGCAAGGCCGCCGTCACAGCTCTCGCAGAGGCAGCCGCAAGATGGCGCGAAAGGTACCCTTACGAGGTCAAGACGTCGGTTACGGTTGGAACCCCGAGGTCGGAGAGTTTCGACGACTACGATGAGGACAACAATGGGGATTCGTATGAACATACCATTGGCACTCCACGACCAAACGACGTCAACGGACGCAAGGGCAGCATTGTCTCCATCACGACTTTGACACAGCACTTCGAACCTGCGCCTTCCCCTCGATTCCCGAGAAACGAGTCCCACAGCTCTGACGAGGTTCTGTACGCCGGAATCGAGGAGGCCCCCATGGACCGTGGTCTTCTCATCCTGGCGCAAATGTCCAGTGCCGGTAACTTCATGAACAAGGAGTACACCGACGCTTGTGTCGAAGCGGCTAGGGAGAACAAGAACTTCGTCATGGGCTTCGTGTCCCAGGAGAGCCTCAACACCGAGCCAGAAGACTCTTTCATTCACATGACACCGGGATGCCAGTTGCCGCCGGAAGGTGACGAGGAGAACGGCGCCGTTGCGGGTGACGGCAAGGGACAGCAATACAACACGCCTCAAAAGCTTGTTGAGCTTTGCGGCACTGATGTCGTTATCGTTGGTCGTGGTATCCTGAAGGCGGGTGATCCTCAATCGGAGGCCGAGAGATACCGCAGGAAGGCCTGGAAAGCCTATCTCTCCCGTGTGGCATAGACGGCTCGTCTCTTACACACACATCCACCACCCTCCTCCACCTGTCCACCAAACTCATACACACACCCAAAGTCAATACCCAGGCGTGTTTTTTTCCATCGTTGTTTTTTTGTCCCCAGTCGCACCGACGTCGGGGCGGGCTTTTACGCCATATTCTCTAGGGTGCTACTGCTGGTTCATGCATATTCGGTTTTGCAATGGTATTCATGTCGTAGAGGATGGGGATTCGGACTCGGCACTGGGGCGATTTCTTAGACGGGGGGGACTCGGCGACCCGGAAGACGGGTGCAAAATAAAAAAAAGGGATCGGCGTTGATTTCTGCGGGTTCTACAAATGCAGGTCTTGCATGCGGACAGTTGCAGTTCATATATCATTGAAATGACAGTTCTCTGCCACGTTTACTTGTCTATATGTGATGGCCCTTGCCTCGATCTCCAAGTCTGCTGCATACCCTTTGGATCGTGAGCAACACCGTCCGGCCATTCCATCGATCCTATCTCTGAGGTGTGGTAGTGGGTAAGACGAGTGGCTGGCTGCTGCTATCGTTCTCTTCTGAGTAGCTCCTTCTTACTCGGCTTACTCGGTTTACTCGGTTTTGAGATCAGATCAGATCCCTCGTCCAGTCAAGGCAAGGTGTCGGTGATCGGCTATTGAGGAAAGTATGTACCTGAGCTACCCTGAACTGCCGTTGATCGCGCACCCTTCTATAGCATAGCTTAATGTTCTGCGACAAGCTGACGGCAAAGTAGTTTCTCGACGGCATGGTGTGTGGCATGTGGCATCCAAGCATGCTACTACAAAACATGGCACGGGGAAGAGGAAAAGGGAAAGGAGGGACAGGGACAGGGATGGAAGGGAAGAAAGAGTTGAGGAGGTTTGCCCATAAGGTAGCCAGGTATGCTCCGTAGGCGATTGGACAACGGACTTTGGCGGACAATGGGCCAAAGTCCTAAAGCCGATGGACGAGATCCATGGCGGGACCCTCACCCGACTTAGTAGGGGAGACGGGGTCAGGTCCGATCTAGAGGCAGAAGAAGTCTACTCATGGTTAGAAAGGTAAATGGACTCTCTGTTACCACTACGAGTCTTCCCTACTGTGTACGGAGTACTCCGTAGAGAAAATGAAGAGAGAGAGAGAGAGAGAGAGGGAGAGGGAGAGGGAGAGAAGAGCATGTCGGGTCGGCGGGCAAGGTTCCCCGGGATGCGACATGTTCCCTACAAGTCCCGCGATGT